ATTTTGATCTAGACAAAAATTTCATCACAGCTTGAAAAAGCATCACAAAATTAGTAATATTCCAAAGTTTCGTTGCGAAACGTTGTAAAATGCGGATAATATAGCCCTGCAAAATTTGGATCATTAAAGATTACAAACGGAAATTGATACCCAAATCGGGTGTTTGGGTATTAATTTCCCGTTTCTAATCTAAAACAAGACGCCTGCTCAGGCGTTCACACTGGCCTGAAAATAACGAGATACGTGCTATGGTGCAAAGGGCAGGAATACAAATCTTAAACCGCAAGCAAATTTTATGGACTTTTTTTAAAAAAATAAAAGACCTTTTCGGGGACGTTAATGGTGCAAGTCAATAACTAGGCGTTACTATCGCAAGGAAAGTGCTGCCGTTTTGGCGTATGAACTGAATGCAATTATGCAAAAATTTATACTTCTACACAATTCTTGGTTATATCCCCAATGTTTCCTTCTCGTTCATCATTTAAGCCCGTTCACAACCTCATTCTTAAATTGTGTGCACGGAATACGAGTAAATAGCCAACATGAAAATGAAGCCATTGGGTCAAAAGTGGATATTAAGGTCTATTACCTATTAGCTGCCAATGCACATTACTTTAGTATTAACTCTGGCTAACGCCAGACCAATTTACACTGTAACGCCAGACGATTTTACTTGTTAGTGGCAGAGTACTGTCAGTAAATGGGTTAACAAACACATCTGCCAATGTCTCTTATTAACCCATTAACAGGCAATGCACCCTGTTTTAGTATTCTTTAGTGACTCTTCAGAATTTGCTCAGAGTCAATGTGAGTAAAATACATCTTGTATTCAAGCGCTTTCATATACAAAGTTTCGTTTGAATACGGCACAGAGTAGGAATATTTGTTTAGAATTTTTCAGAATATCGGGTTTTTACTCGCACGCACGTTTATAGCTCGATCAATGAACGTGCAAATCATGCCGACCTACAGAATTGATTTCCGGTTTTTCCTAAACAGCACGTTGTTTTCACTGTGCGTTCCATGGGCCGCGCTAAAAATATAAATATTCTGTAAATACCGAAATAAAAGATGACAATCTCAAGACACAAGCTTGAAAATAACACTATAAATAGTGTTTTCGATTCTGGTTCCAATAATATCATTACGAAAAAGATATGTCCAAATGGGCCGAAGTATGTTCGGCAAAATGTATGGCTAGTACGTTTACATTGTTTGTTATATTATGAAATATGATACCATACTTGTATTAAAATTCGCGTCGAACTAATGTTATTGTATTAGGCAAATGAGTAGACTTGCCACAAGTCGACCTCGAACGAAATGCGTTTCTTCGAGGTCGACTTGTGGCAAGTCTAGCAAATGAGAACCATACAATAATGGTTCTAGTTCTTGTTGGTATTTTGAACGCACGCTTTATCTTTAGTATAGCTACCACAAAGCTTTTCGCGCGGATTATATTTCGCGCAGTACTAAAATTTCCGCACCCAGCGGCCATAGCCTGTGAAAATTTACGGCTAAGCGGCCTGCGCTACGCTAATTCTCTTAATTCTAGTACTGCGCGGATTTTAATACATGTATTTAAAGGTATATTGTCGACATTTGACTAAAACTATCGTAAGGAATTCGGAGAGTTTGTCCTTGTTTATATTCCAATATATTGTATAAATTCGCTGGGTACAAATTTATGAAATTTTGGGGTTTTCGAGTCGTTTAATTTAATACAAAAAGAAAAACATTAATTCAACAGGCAAGAAAGTCCAGAGTGCGATGCAAAAATTAACACAAGTACACAACGGATGTTATGAGTCCACGACGTATATTTATAGTTGTTTAATAAAAAGTCAAACTGTCAAACCTTTAACTTGTCCTTGTTTAAATATCCTTCTATATATTGTATAAATTCGCTGGGTCTAAATTTTCGAGTCGTTACACAAAGTAAAACACATTAATTCAACACGCAAGAAAGTCCAGAGTACGACACAACGTAAAATCCATAGGAAACCGGCACAATTCTTTGAAAATTCAACGAAACTGTGTAAAATATAGTTTGATCACTCTGTGAAAAGCCGCCATTGGAGTTCGGAATTGTGCGCGTGCGTACAAGTGTATGGGCTAATAAACGAAAAATGCACCACAAGCATGGCATGAGTCGGCTATTACGTACATAAATACGGACTTATTACTATACTATGTAAATCATGGAACCGAGGGGATCGATGGCATTTTGGCTTAGTCGTTGCACCCTGAGCCTGCGATGAGCTAACGCAAACTCGATTTCTCGACTACGAAAAAAACAGGAAAACACAGGAAAAGACAGAAAAAGAGGGATTTAAGACACTTGGCCTACAGGCCAGTGTAATGACTGAAAATTGCAAACTTCGCAAGGCTATATTATCCGCATTTTACAACATTTCGCGACGAAACTTTGGAATATTACTAATTTTGTGATGCTCCTTCAAGCTGTGATGAAATTTTTGTCTAGACTTGTTTAGTTCAAAATTTAGTCTATTACGCAAATGGTCAATTGGACCTTTAACCTTATAACTAAAATTTTGATCTAGACAAAAATTTCATCACAGCTTGAAAGAGCATCACAAAATTAGTAATATTCCAAAGTTTCGTTGCGAAATGTTGTAAAATACGGATAATATAGCCCTTGCAATTTTCTGTCATTTTAGATTACAAACGGGAAATTGATACCCAAATCGGGTGTTTGTTTTTTGTCTAGACTTGTCTAGATCAAAATTTTAGTTATAAGGTTAAAGGTCCATTGGCTCCATCGAGTGAGTTGCCCAAAATATTGATATTTATCCATACGCCTTACATTGGCTTCAACTTAGTTGTAGGTCCTCTGTGAACCTTTGAAGATAGCTTAGTGTAGAATACTACCTACACTGGGCCACAGGTTTTGCGAATATACGCATATCAAACAACCTCAAATTCAAGCATTCATCTTTTTCTTAATAGATGTATACAAACCTTCCCGACAATCATTGGGATCACCATTTCTCCGGAGGCAGAGCCAATCACAATCACGCTCGTAACTGGACCTGAAAAAAGGTAAAGTAAGAACATCAGTTAGCAATCAGAAATATATATTCCCCGAAGGTAGCCAAACCAGGAAAAAGTTTTCCGTAAAGAATACGCATGTAAAAACGTCTGTGCAAGTTGTTACAGATCTGGAAACAAGTTGATTGCTGTCAACAAGGTTGTTGTGAAGCCGATATCAGGATGTGTTCGCACTGCTTGTTCCCAGTTGTTGTGACAAGTCAGGAACCAGGGGCGTAGGAACCGGGGGGCCTACCCCCCCCCCACAAGTTTTGCCAAGTGCCCTTTTTCCGGGAGCAAAGTGACCTTTTCTTGCGTGAAAAATGCCTTAAGGATTGCCTTTTTTTGCCCAAAGTGCACTAGTTTGAAAACTTGAATTTATGTTATTTTCCGGAAAATTTTATTCATTTGCGGGAAAAATATGATATGTCCGGAAAATTTTTGGGTATATCCGGAAATTTTTTTTCATATTTAGGAAAAAAAATGTTATATATCCGGAAAAATTTTTTTTGGTATGTCCGGAAAAAGTTTTTGAGACTTCCCCCAGTTTTTAGATGCCCTTTTTTATTCGGAAAGTGCCCCTCAAAGCCTGCCCCCCCAACTTTGAGAAGCTTCCTACGCCCCTGTCTAGAGCAAGTTGTTATCTTCTTGTTACAAGGTTGACGACAGCGACGTACTTGCTGCAAGTTGTTCAAACAAGACTAATACAGGCTGTTCTCAACAAGTTGCTACGAGCTTGTTGTCATCAACTTGTTAACAACTTGTTACGTGCAGACGATATCAGATTTGTTGGAACAACTTGTTGCGAGTCTGTTGGTCTCGACAACCTTGTTACAAGATGATAACAGTTTGTTACAGACTTGTCAACAACTGGGAACAAGCAGTGCGAACACATCTTGTTGACAAGTTGTGAGATTTTTACGCGTGTACCAGGGAATCAGATTCTCCACAGCAATGTGGCCAAGCCAGGAAAGCATTAAAGAAAGCATCAAAGATTTTAGGATGTATTTTCTAAGGGAAAACCTACCTGTCACATTAATATATAACTCTGCCAAAGCCAAAGTTGATGGGAAGACACTGCTTATAAACAATCCAAACAGACTTGTGCCGATGTAGATAGCAAGAGCTTTGTCGTGGAAATATAAAACAACTGACATTGATACTAAACATCCCACCTGTCGTTGCGGAAAGAAAAAGTGTATGTGATTCGTGGGGCATAGGTGTTTAGCAAAATGGAAATTTTAAGGTTGGTGTACACTATCAAAGTTTCTGTGATCACAGTAGGAATTTTGCATTGGTAAATTCTAAGTTTTGAAGGATTTGTCAGAGATGTCTGTGATGAGTTTAACACTGACTCCTGTATTCTAAAAGCTCACTCACACTCAATGAGTGGAGGTTCAATCTGAGCTTCCCTTGAGTGCCAGTGCTGTTTTTGAATAGCTGGAGGGTGAGTAGTCGCATAGTAAGGTACAACACTAGCCCTCCAGCTATTCAAAAACAGCATTGACACTCAATAGAAGTTCAGATTGAACCTCCACTCATTGAGTATGAGTGTGAGTGAGCTTTTAGAATACGGGCGTGAGTTTCATCAAACATTTCTTACAAATCCTTCAAAACGTAGAATTTTCCGATGCAAAATTCCTACTGTGATCACAGAAACTTTGATAGTGTCAACCAGACGTTGGTATAGTGAAATGTGTTCCAATAATAAAATAGAAATGTACTGAAATATAATGGAATGAACTCATGTAACAAAATAAGATATTAGAATCGACTAGAGTAGAATAGAATGAAACGGAATGCGAAAGTGGAATAGAATAGAATGGAATAAAGTGGGAAAGAAAAATATAATAGCATAGCAAAGCATGATCAGAATGGAATGGAATAAAATAAATAAAATATAATATAATAGAAAGAATTGGAATAGAGCACAATGGAATGGAATTAATGAAATAGAATACAATTCAATGAAATCTGCAAGTTGAATCGTTGATGTCATCTGCAAGTTGAATCGAAATTGTAAGGAAGGATGAAATGTTGTAAAAATAGGTGAAAAATAAATTGAGCTGAATAGAAACGAATGGAGTTTTAAAGTAATATAAATGAGTGGAACAGAATCGAGTAGAATGGGATAGAATTCCATTGAAGGAATAACCTAATACGTCATCGTTCTTGCAATTTCAAGGTTGTAATTTTTAACCACTTACCAAGTTAATGCAGACCATTTTGTCAGGTTTGATAAAGATTGCCACAGGTATAGATATAAAACGCCCCACAGCAAAATGGCCCTGGAATTAGGAAAATAAAGCTCGTGTTTTGACGTCATTGATGGCGCAATGCATCCTTTGTGTTCAAAAAACAATAATCGTTCAAGTTGTGTCTGTAAAATTTGTTACGTACCCAAAACAGAGCGCTCAAAAAAGCACCTTCTCGACTCGTTAAATGAACTTTACTTTTAAGAGCAAACGTATAAAGATATCCCGCATAACTTCCCTGGAAAAAAACACAAGAATATTGCTGTTCTTCAGTTTCATGTAAGAAGAGTGATAAGAGGTGGCTTAAAATGGACCTCTAGGAAGAACAGTTTAGAACTGATAGAGCTATCCAGTATAAATAAAATTAGTTTAGTTTAGGTTTTCTCCTGTAGTAACACTGGATCAATTTTAAGAGATTTTCCATACTGGACCTCTAGGAAGAACAGTTTAGAACTGATAGAGCTATCCAGTATAAATAAAGTTAGTTTAGTTTAGGTTTCCTCCTGTAGTAACACTGGATCAATAAGAGATGATCCTTACTGGACCTCTAGGAGGAACAGTTTAGAACTGATAGAGCTATCCAGTATAAATAAAGTTAGTTTAGCTTAGGTTTCCTCCTGTAGTAACACTGGATCAAGAAGAGATGTTCCTTACTGGACCTCTAGGAAGAACAGAGGGAACATTTAGAGCTTTCCAGTGTAAATAAATTTACTTTAGTTCAGTAGTCATATTTAACAACAAGACCCGAAGTAGTATGGCCGTACCTTTAGACCTTCGCATAAGAAGAGTAAACTTGATGATAGGAATGTGATAAGTAAAACCCGTACGGAGATTGTGATCCAGGGTCTTTTAGCCGGGAGTAAACTAACAGGCTTGAAAATTTGGCTAAGATCTAAAAAGAGATTAAATTACATACTAGAGATATTGATGACGTTGGTGGTCGAGGCCTACGCGCGTAAAAACTCTCACAGCTTGTCAACAAGATGTGTTCGCATTGCTTGTTCCCAGTTGTTGACAAGTCTGGAACAAGTTGTTTTCATCAAGTTCATTCAACAAGTTGTAACAAGGTTAATGAGGTCAACAGACTCGCAACAAGTTGTTCCAATAAGTCTGATAACGTCTGCACGTACCAAGTTGATGACAACAAGCTCGTAGCAACTTGTTACGAACAGCCTGTATTAGTCTTGTTGGAACAACTTGTAGCAAGTCTGTTACCGTCATCAACCTTGTAACAAGGTGATAATAACTTGTTCCAGACTTGTTGCAACAACTGGGTACAAGCAGTGCGAACACATCCTGATATCGGCTTGACAACAACCTTGTTACAACTTGTGCGTTTTTACTTGTGTATATGTACCCTCATGTCACATTACTTCAAATCGTTGGATAGTGTAACAGCACCTTTACCCGGCGCAACAGAGACAATGTAATTACTATATATTCCAATATTCTCTTCTCTATAAGAATAAATAGTATAGACATGCTTATACCTTTCATTGCCTCGCTAGTCGATTCTGAATCGTTGTCTCCTAATGAAATAATCTCTCCTTCATTTGGTACAGGAAATGTTTCTCGAAGACGTTTCTGTTTAAAGATGAGATACACCAGACCAAGAATTATCGGGATCTACAGTGGAAAGTAAGAAGCATTTTTCTTTTTAAATTGTGATAAAGTTTGAAATCCAGGATAAATAACGTTAGTTTAGTTTAGTTTAGTTTAGTTTAGGTTTCCTCCTGTAGTAACACTGGATCAATAAGAGAAGATTCTTACTGGACCTCTAGGAAGAACAGTTTAGAACTGATAGAGCCATCCAGTATAAATAAAGTTAGTTTAGTTAAGGTTTTCTCCTGTAGTAACACTGGATCAATAAGGGATGACTCTTACTGGACCTCTAAGAAGAACAATTTAGAACTGATAGAGCCATCCAGTATAAATAAAGTTAGTTTAGTTAAGGTTTCCTCCTGTAGTAACACTGGATCAATAAGAGATTATCCTTTCTGGACCTCTAGGAAGAACAGTTTAGAACTGATAGAGCTATCCAGTATAAATAAAGTTAGTTTAGTTTAGGTTTCCTCCTGTAGTAACATTGGATCAATAAGAGATGATCCTTACTGGACCACTAGGAAGAACAGTTTAGAACTGATAGAGCTATCCAGTATAAATATAGTTAGTTTAGTTTAGGTTTCCTCCTGGAGTAACACTGGATCAATAAGAGATTACACTTACTGGATCTTAAGGGAGAACTGTTAGAGTTATCCAGTATTTGCTGCGAATATAAGGATTATATTACATCTACGACCTGCAATTAAGGTGTTAAATACCCTCATCGCTCTATGCCCACCTGAATTGATGCAATAATCCAATAACCAAACTGCACCGTGATTGGTTCTTTTGAAACTTTATAAACGGTCGTTGTGTTTAAAATTGTTCGATTTCTTTCTATTGTAGAATTCGTTGAATTATGAACTACCACTGTTCCGTCGCACTGATCTCGTAGAAATGGACGGACAATCATAGGGCTTAGTAGAGCGCCTATGCCGTAGCAGAAATGTAAAGCCTAAGAGAAGATGTTGTATGGAGTGTTCAAAGATTTTTGTAAGCAAAACTTTTTTGTTGTTGAATTTTTACAGTAATGAAGTTTAAATATGTTTGAAGCGAAACCAAGGTTTCATTCATAATAAGTTTGTAGACGTTCTCTGGTTTTAAATATTTATTTAGTACGAACTTTCGACTGCCAGTCTGCAGTCTTCGACGGGTAGAAAACAGTTGAAGATTGCAGACTGACAGTCGAGAGCTCGTGCTAAATAAATATTTAAGACCAGAGAACGTCTACAACTTATTAGTAATCAAGTTGTCGTGGTTTGTGTCTGAATTCCGTTTCGAGACAGAGCCTTTGTTGAGATCTAGAACGTGTTTTTAATTAATCCTTTTTAATCCAACGTTTCTGTGATCACAGTAGGAATTTTGCATGGGTAAATTCTAAGTTTTGACGGATTTGTAAGAAAAGTTTGAGGGAATTAACTCGGTGTTTAACATTAAGTCAATTTGGTCAAACATTTCTTACAAATCATTCAAAACTTAGAATTTACCTAATGCAAAATTCCTACTGTGATCACAGAAACTTTGATAGTCTAAACCAGGATTTACGCTTAGTTCACAATAAGGCGTGCTGTGTCAGAGCAATGCTTTTGAAGCGCAGGCCTCGAATTTGAGAAAAATAAAGGCAAGGCCAGTTTCTCCTAGGCTCAGATTCCAGCTGTGAGAACACAACGGCTGGAATCTGAGCCTAAGTTTCTCCTTGAATGTTACTAAGTTTTTCAGGGCATCAAGGCCAGTTTGAAAATTTTATTTAGTTGCTATTTTGAAGTTTCAAATAACGTTTGAGTTTCCATGAGACAAGAAAAATTTACAGAACAGCAACAATATTAAAAAAAATGCCAAACAAAACTATGGATATTTTAATACATGATTCAACAGACACACTGACGGAAAGGTGCATTTAAATTATTAAAATACTATTTTAAATTTATTGCCAATTTTACAAATCATACACTTGGTATTCTAAAGCCTAAGTACTGTAGTCTGGGGTTGAGGGCAGGCCACTACTAGCCGTGGATTTCAGTATATTTCGAGGGCATAGCGGCCAACAAGCAGGGCATCGACGGCCAGTGGCCGCCATGGCCGCCGCTAAATTCGAGGCCTGCTGCTTGGTTACTCGATGTCACAAGCTGGCATGCTGAGTCAGATTAACATTATCAGAACTTCCCCTTACCTGTAATCTTGGCGCCACCTGTAAAAAGTCACGAAAATTTTCGTTAGTAACTTTGGAAATGTAATATACCACAAAATTTTTACAATTTTTAACGAGAACATTTAAAGGCACAGTTCAGCCTTTTGAACGATGGTTTTTAAGGCGCATTTCAGCCCTTTTAATTGAAAAAACTAACTAGGAAAATCAATTAAGCATAATTCAAAATCAGTAAACTCGATGTTTTTAACAATAAAAATGTTTTAAAATGTTAAAAACATTAAGTTTGGTGATCTTGAATTATGCTTAATTGATTTTCCTAGTTAGTTTTTTCAATTAAAAGGGCTGAAATGCGCCTTAAAAACCATCTTTCAAAAGGCTGAACTGTGCCTTTAATTGACAAATTTCTTTGGCTGTAAAACTACTACTGGTAGTTTCCTTGTTTAATACTGAAGAAGAAAGTTTTCTACGGACAGAAAATTTTCCAAAAATATCATTGTTAAAAGTTGAAAATTTTCAACTTCAAAATTTTTTTCCGACGGAAAATTTGTGTCGACCAATCACATTTTACAAAATTTTCTTTCTGCGGAAAATTTTCCCGAGTAGAAATGGGCCTTAATAATTGTATGAAATTCACACTCTAGATTTACATCCACAAAATCTATCTACAATTGGTGTCATTCTTAGACATTCACAAAGTCCATTTTCGTTTAGAGGACTGAAGGAAAAGAGGATGGGTTATGGCTGGAAATGAGACTAGCGGACAAGAGACTTAATGGGTGATTGCAGCTACGGACTAAATTTTGATCAAGGCAAGAAGAATGAAATCCAACACCACAGCTAGAAAGAGCGTCTTAGAATGAGTAAAACTGCAAAGATTGGTTGCTTAATGTTGCGCAGTGAAGAGCATACAGTTCTGTGATGTTCGAAACTTTTGTATATATTTGTATTACGCGTGGTAAAAATAACCATGTATGATGCAAATATATACAAAATTTGCGAACTTCCGAGGGTTATATTTTCCTCATTGTACAACAATTCGCAACCAAACTTTGCAATTTTACTCATTTTAAGATGCTCTTTTCAGCTATATATGGTAATGGTTTCGTTCTTCTTATCTAGATCAAGATTTCGTCTACAGGGTGTATCAAAAAAAGCGCAATCCTCGACCGAAATGTAAATTGCTAAATAAATAATAGACGAAAACGTTAAAGTTTACATTCATTTTAAAGCGTAGCCATTCAGCTTTCTAAAAGTGGATTGTTTCTTAAATTTCACTCATTGGTTCGCGGGTAATAATACTTTACGTTATTGCGATTGGAGATTAAAAAAATTGAGATGGAATAACAAATCGTTCTCATGAAAATAACTGATTTTTTCATTAAAACAAAAAAATGATTGTAACAATAAGTATAATTACGGCTTTTCTTCCACTATTTTTAACACAGTTTGAAACTTCAAATGCGATATAATTTTGGCTTGGACCATCTAAGCTGACTGACATCAGCTTGCTATAATTTCTGTTTACATTACATCGCAATTCGATGACACTCTGGCTCAGACACCAGAATGTTTTGACGATTTTTAGCATTCGTTTAGATTTTCAAACAACCTGGTCTCTTTTAAAATACTTTTAATTTGTTCTTACGTGGTTTTCCAGATGTAGTGACGACAACATTAAAGTTTAAAGAAGAAAATTCTAACATTTAAACTGACTAAACAATAACATAGTAAACTTGCATAATTAAACAGCAACTAAAAATGATAGGTTTTACTAAATCTTTTCCTGTGCAATTATTACTAGCATTGGAGACAAGGATAATAGTTTGTTTGAAAGAGAAAAGAACGGGCTTTGAAGTAAGCCTAAAAGCGTTTAACTAGAAATAGTATTTCGAAAGTTATTAAGCACAAAAGATGAATTGCGTTTATTTTGATACACCCTGTATAGCTGGAATAATCTGGAGCGTTTTTTTTTTGTATAGCAACAATGTTCGTTGCGTACAATTTCCACCTTTTCTTCATCACCTACCTCCCTTCCATGTATCTTAATTAGGTTCACATTGGCGACTGTATCTATCATCCCCATATTGATTCCCAGTAATCCCACCGTGATTAACATTCCGTAATAAATTGACCACACTGGGATGAAAGCCAAACAAATGCTTATAGCTAAAACATTTGTTACAAGCACTCGGCTGCAGTTATATCTGTGAAAAAAAAGGAAATAATGTAATCATTTAACAAGTGACAAAACACGACTTCCTGCTGAGGTATCTTCAGATTAATAACCTCCTGCGGTTTGTGTTTGAACTACCGGAAATAAATGTCTCAAACTTGAAAGTCGAGTTGCCCAATCATTTACTGTGGTTTTGCTGTTGATACGTTTTGGTTTAAGTCAAGAGTTTCGTCATTCTATTGAATTGCTTTAATGATGGGCAATTATTGTGTAAGATATTGGGTTAAGATATTGGGTTAAAATATTTGAGATATCTTTTTCAGCTAGTTCAGACACAAACCACGACAGCTAATTGAAGAATACTACCTACACTGGACCACCACGTTTGAGATATCTTTTTCAGGTAGTTCAGACACAAACCACGACAGCTTATTGTAGAATACTACCTACACTTGACCACCACGTTTGAGATATCTTTTTCAGTTAGTTCAGAAACAAACTACGGCAGCTTATTGAAGAATACTACCTACACTGGACCACCACGTTTGAGATATCTTTTTCAGGTAGTTCAGACACAAACCTCGACAACTTATTAAAGAATACTACCTACACTGGACATTTGAAATTAATTCACTCACCTCTCGGCTAGCAATCCTCCAGTAAGTGAGCCAAACCATGCACTAAATGCTTGCGTAAACACTATCCATGCAATCCTATTCACTCCTTTCCCCGTCTGACATCCCAGCTCCAGTAACGTGGGTCCAATTACCGCTTCGGACATGCCAAAGCTCAGAAACGCTCCACAATAGCACAATGTTGCAAGCTTTCCTCCCAGAAATTCCAATTCGCTTTTGTAGTCTTGAGAAAAGCAACGTTTTAACATGTCCAAATGACTTGTTTGTCTCTTGGGAGATTTTACAAACATATTAGGTCTGTTTTCGCCTTTGAAAAGTTCCTGCAACGTTGTCCCACTTGAAGAAGTCATTATGTAAAATTCAATATTTTCTACGCTTCCAAGTTAGATATTTCCTATAGAACCTTTATATCTGCCGTAGTATTTATGTATTCATAGATTTCCGGTTATCTTGTATCGAGTTTGCATATTTAAAAACCTTTTCGCTTTTTTTTAAGGTTTTGGCGTTTCGATACGTTTAGCAATGAAAGATAAGCTATTCTTCTGGTCTTCTGTTTATATCGATTCTTTTTAGGCTGTCTGATTTAGCATTTGTGTAATTCCTTGTGTATATTTTTGCTTCTTACTTCACTTCGACTTGCAAGATGCCTAGTACTTATTTTCGCTATCAGAGATTTGCAAAGATTTTGTTTCGACTTGCGAGATAATATATTTTTTTCGCTATCAAAGTTTTGCAAAGATTTTGCGAGATATAATTAAATATTTTTTAATTGAAATGCCTTTCGACGGTGATTGCTTTTTCGACTGCTGTTTTGGTTTCCCAAAAAGTGTGAAAACCGTTATCGTACTGGCGTAGCCGTTCCTTTTGCAGCAAATTAACGATAGTCAATCACTAATCTTCGTAGAAAAGCTTTGTCTTTGGGATTTTCGCTTCAAAAACTGCTTCGCTTGTTAGATGTGTTAATTCTTTTGTCTCTCACGTCTTGAAGATATTTATCCCCGAGATAGCGGTAACAATGTCCTATTTCTTTACAGCAAACGATAGTCTAGCACTTGTGTGTGGAATTTATGCTTTTTTCAACTGCAACTTTCCTTGTTGGACTTTGTTAAATGTTTTGTCCTTGGTATATCGATGTTTGTACATAAAATATCAAAACAATGACACGCAGCTGTTTCTGTATATCAAAATGGTACTCTATAAAAAATATTGTCCTTGGAATTAGATTTATATTCAATTGTCCCCTTACTTGTCAAACGTTTTAAACATAGATTACACTGTAGAAATTAGTGAGTTTCCTTCTGTCTTTTACAGCATGCCTTGGTGGGAATCCAAGAAATCTTTCTATATTCCTCGATGTTCAATGTTATATATTTGTTACTATATGCAATATTGTCTGAAAGAGTCTTTTTCCATTCTCCAATGTCGATTTAAATTGTAATATCTTCTTTCGTTTGCAAGCTTTATAATTAACTGTTAATGGCTGTCGTCAGCTCAGAATTAATCTCGTCTATATGTCTGCCGTTTGTCCAAATCCCTTATTGATACAAGAAGCGTATTTTTCTTCGTTCCAAGAAACTTGTCAATATTGATTTGCAGTTCTCTCCCCACGTTTAGAAGCTTTGTAATATTTTCTTAATGGCTATCACCTCAGAATTAATATTGTGATATCTTGCCTGTTCGTCCAAATTCCTTAGCGATACAAGAACCGTATTCTTTCCTGATCTAAAAACCTTATCACTGGTTGATTTGAAGTTATATTCCCCCGTCTGCAAGCGTTGTAATTATTTCTTAATGGCTCTCACCTCAAAATTAATCTTCTAATATCCTCCCTGTTTGTCCAAATTCCTTAGTGATCCAAAATGGTTTCCACTGTAATCCTAAAACCTTTTCAATTTTGCATTCGCTGTTATATTCCTTCGTTTATAAGCTTTGCAATTATATCTTAATGGCCGTCAGCTCAGAATTAATCTTGTCTATCTGTTCCTTGTTCCACCAAATTCTTCAACGATCGACGAATCTTTGGTGTACAAAATCTTCTATTTGCTGGACCACTCCGACAAGAAGACGGCAAAACTAAGACACTGTGCACGAAATGATACTTTCGAATACTAATTGAACACTTCAGACCGAAATCTTTTCTTGTTGTGTATATTACAATACGAGATCTCAGTCAGATTCTTCTGTGATCCACAAATTCTTGACAAACAAAAAAGTCTCTCTCAACTGTGCAAGTCCGAGACGGAGCAGGCCGTTCACGACAAAAGCGAACACACTGTGTCCTACAATACTCTTTAATCAATCTATTTTTTATCGGAGATTTTTCTTGTGTTTTGTATATATTACAATCCGTGGGAAGCTATACTTCAATATGTATGCCGCTTTTTACACAATTGAGATTTACACAAACAAACTGTTTTCATGGACAATTCCGGATAAAAACGCCTTATACACGCTTCCTGTTATAAGGAAAAGCTCAACAAACGTCAAGACATCGAAAAAAATGGCATTCGCTGCAAAAAATGCAGATATATAACATTTCAAATCGAAAATTGTTGCAGAAAATTGTAGTGTGTGGGCTGGTGAAATTATATCATGAATCTTTTATGGATTGCACGGCGAATTGCCATCTGCCTTTATTTTTAAATGAAAATTTCTGCAAAATAGAATTAAAATAGCACACTAAATCATGCATCTTTTGTTAAAAAGGTGCAAAAATATAAATTAATTTACTTGAAAAATTTCAGCGTCAATTTTTGGGTAAAAATTTTGAGATTGGTCCAAGTAGGCCTATATCTGGAAATCGGAAGATTGTAGATATTAAAATTTTTCTCGCACGTCGTAGGACGTTTGTTGCTTTTTAATATTAATGAGCTGTGTCGGAAGCATAGAGTAATTGACCTGACTTGCAAGCAACGCTAGGGAATTGACTTTAATTTGAAAAATTAAGTTTTTCATGTTTAGAGAAGGAAAGTAATCACCGATGTCTAAATAGAATAAAAACCCATAATTTCGTGTTTCCGGCCATGAAGAAGCTATCGCCTCGCTGCTTGTGCAATGCAGTGTTGTAGCAAGCTTATCCAATGTTATAAGCTGTTGTGGTTTGTCCTTGAACTTGATATCTCAAACGTAGTGGTTCAGTGTAGGTAGTATTCTACAATAAGCTGTCGTGGTTTGTGTCTGAACTACCTGAGAAAGATACCTCAAACGTGGTGGTCCAGTGTAGGTAGTATTCTACAATAAACTGCCGTGGTTTGTGTCTGAACTACCTGAAAAAGATATCTCAAACGTGGTGGTCCAGTGTAGGTAGTATTCTATAATAAGCTGCCGTGCTTTGTGTCTGAACTACCTCAAAAAAGATATATCAAACGCGGTGGTCCAGTGCAGGTAGTATTCTACAATAAACTACCGTGGTTTTTTTGTCTGAACTACCTGAAAAAGATATCTCAAACGCGGTGGTCCAGTGTAGGTAGTATTCTACAATAAGCTGCCGTGGTTTGTGTCTGAACTACCTGAAAAAGGTATCTCTCAGTATTGAAAGACTACTACCATCACTGAAGGCCAAATTTTATGGAGCCGGATCAATTTCAAAGGAAAGTTAAATTTATTTTCTTTTTCACTCAGCCATTTATAATTGTTTGATAGTTATGACAGTGCTATACATTTAATCTCATTTATACTTTATTACTCTTTCATCCCACACATTTCCTTTCATTATAACGCTGTCATGATATCGTGCTTTCATTTCGATGAAACGAAAGTCTGATGGGACAATCGATGGCGCGGAATGAACTGGGTACAAGACTGCTTAGTTTGGTCTCATCCTCGTTCTCAGGGCCTCACGACCGCGCGCGAACTCCATAGGCCCTGGAATACACGGAACCGGAAGCGCAAGAAAACTTGCAGTAGTTTCTAAAGCGCATGCTCTTGAATTGGGACGCTTCAGCAACCGTAATAATTTTCACAGACAAGTATTACGAAGGAACCAAGTATTTGTGTTGACATATTTTGATAGAAAAATCTTTTCTAGCGAAAATTTCTCAACTTCTGCGAAATAGCAGTTCTCTGAGAAGCCAATTAGATCTCTCCCTTCGGTCGTCTAACCCAGAGCCTAATTTTCAACGAATTTTCAATGGCTCTGGGGACGAGAATGGTTTGGTCTGCAATGTTTGATTGTCTTCCTTAAGGCTACACCTTAAAAATCTCACAGCTTGTCAACAAGATGTGTTCGCACTGCTTGTTCCCAATTGTTGACAAGTCTGGAATAAGTTGTTATCATCTTGTAACAAGGTTGACGAGGCCAACAGACTCGCAACAAGTTGTTCCAACAAGTCTGATATCGTCTGCACGTAACAAGTTGTTAATAAGACCCCGTTTACACGGTACCGGACGAATTTGGGACCGGACGAAAATTCGTCCTTTTTCGCCTGTTTACACGCGAATTCGTCCTGTTAGGGGGTCTCAAATTCGTCAGGTTTCGTGGTTCTCGTGTGTTTACACGGACGAAACGGACGAATTTTCGTCCGGTCACAAATTCGTCCGGTACCGTGTAAACGGGGTCTAAGTTGATGACAACAAGCTCGTAGCAACTTGTTAAGGCGTTTTTCCACTAAGCGGAATTTTTCGACCGAATCGAAATTTTCTTTTGTCTTACGAGCACTCAGATGGAACTAAACAGAAATCTTTTGAATTTGAACAATAGAAATTTCCGTTCGATCGAAAAATTTCGCCTATTAAGGCGGTTTTCCACTCCTTAAAAGGCGGTTTTCCACTAGGCGAAATTTTTTTTCGACCGAATCGAAATTTCTCTTTGTTTCATGAGCTCTCGAGCAGAACTAATTGTAAAAAGACAAAAAGAAATTTCGTTTCGGTCGAAATATTCCGCCTTGTGGAATCAGGCCTTTAGGAACAGCCTGTATTAGTCTTGTTGGAACAACTTGTAGCAAGTCTGTTACCGTCATCAACCTTGTAACAAGATGATAACAACTTGTTCCAGACTTGTCACAACAACTGGGAACAAGCAGTGCGAACACATCCTGATATCGGCTTCACAACAATCTTGTTACAACTTGTTTGCTTAATTTTACAATCCACTTGCAGGCGTACGAGCTAAACTCGTCTCTCGTGGTTTACTTTGGACTCTCAGATAATAAAGAGGAAATCATCCGAGTCCTTGACAAGTAAGATAAACAAAATCATTTGATTACACACGTAAAAACGCACAAGTTGTAACAAACCTGCAGCAGACTTGTAGCAATGCTGTTCCAACAACTTGTCAACAGGATGTGTTCGCACTGCTTGTTCCCAGCTTGATGACAATTTGTTAACGGCTTATTGACAACTTGTTACAAGGTTGTTGAGCTGAACAGACTTGTTACAAGTTGTTCCAGCAACTTGTTACCGTCCAGCAATTCGACAATTTGTCAGCAAGATCTGAGTGACAACCTTGTAGCAACTTGATAAAATAATAGCATTATTACAATTTGTTGACAAGCTTTCTACAAGCCTGTTGCGAACACATCTTGTTGACGAGTTGTGAGATTGTCACGTGTGTACCCTAACACTTTCAACATTGGGGGGACGGGGGTGGTTAGAAAGCTAAGCTATCGTCAGTCACCTCGATTAATTATACATTTCTAACATCAAATTCCATTTTATATGAACTCTTTCCATGAGAATAATCTTTCGTCCGTCCGCGCTTCCAAATTCGAAAATCTTTCCAGAGTCTAGTCTTACATAATTTACCATTCTGTTTCGCTATTTTTAAAGTTTTGAAAGCTAGCACATTAATAATCCTCTTTAAATATTTCTTCATTCTGCTCGGCCTGAAAATTCGCCTCCATTTAATTGCGTTAACAAGCCGTAATAAATAAACAACGGGATAGCAGAATATTATCGAGAAACGTTCGAAATTTTTCTTGTTCTTTGTACAGAATCCTTTAAACAGTAGGCGAAGAAAATAGTACACCAATGTTAAAATACAGCCTGAAGTCGAGAGTTCCCTTTTAAAACCATTCCTTTGTCGTCGAAGTGTCGAAGAATAACTAACTGTTGCCATACGGCTCTTGTCAATAATACATTTGCCTTTGTTTGAATTCAATTTCGGCCAGCATTATAATGTAACCAATTTAATTTACGAGCTTTCTTTAAGGAATACTCGCTATATGGGAATAGCCCCATTCTCGATTCCAAGTTGGTTTACCAGAATTTGAATAAACACATATACATATACCAACATTTGAAGTTTATCTTTTCAGTTAAACTATTTGACGCAAGGAGTTTTAAATCTTTTGTGATCTGATATGCGTGACCGACAATCATTAATTTTAATGACTTCATAATCAATCTGTCTCACATTACATGGGGGGCATTCAATCTAACGATCTACAGTGAATACACGTAAAATTCTCATATCTTGTAGCAAGTCTGCCAACAAGCCGTCAACAAGTTGTGTTCGCACTGCTTGTCCCAAGTTGTCAACAAGTTTGGAACAACTTGTTCACAGTTATAACAAGTTTGTTGATATTATAAGACTTGTAGGAAGGTTGTCAGTCCAACAAGTCCGATACAGTCATGATATAACAGTATTGTTATCTTGTGTCGTCAACCTTGTAACACTCTTGTTGTATCTGTCTGTATTAGGCTTCTTAGAACAACTTTGTTACAGGTCTGATAATGCCATCAAGCTTGTATATACACGTAAAAATCTCGCAACTGGTCAACAAGATGTGTTCGCAACAGGCTTATAGCAAGCTTGTCAACAAGTTGTAACAATGCTGTTATTTTATAAAGTTGCTGCAAGGTTGTCACTCACAACTTGTTGACAAATTGTTGAATTGCAGGACGATAACAAGTTGTTGGAACAACTTGTAACAAGTCTGTTGAGCTCAACAACCTTGTAGCAAGTTGTCAACAAGCTGGGAACAAGCAGTGCGAACACATCCTGTTGACAAGTTGTTGGAACAGCATTGCGACAAGTTGCTGCAGGTTTGTTACAACTTGTGCGTTTATTTTTACGTGTGTATACATACACACGCAAAAATCTCACATCCTGTAACAAGTCTGCCAACGAGCCGTCAACAAGTTGTGTTCGCACTGCTTGTCCCAAGTTATCAACGAGCTTGGAACAAGCTGTTAACAACTTGTAACAACCTTGTTGATATTATCAGACTTGTAGCAAGGTTGTTCCAACAAGTCCGATGCAGTCATGATATAACAATATTGTTACAACCTTGTGTCGTCAACCTTGTCTAACTTGTAACATTTTTGTTATATCATGACTGTGTCAGACTTGTTAGAACAACCTTGTAACAAGTTTAATAATGCCATCAAGCTTGTTACAAGTTGTTAACAGCTTGTTCCAAACTTGTTACAACAACTGGGAACAAGCAGTGCGAACACAACTTGTCGACAGCTTGTGAACAGATTTGTAACAACTTGTTTGCAGACCTGTAACAACTTGTGCGTTTTTCCGTGTGTAGCGGTTTAATGGTACGTGGTCAGTGCATGTGACATTCACCTCAGAATCGTATGTACACACGTAAAAACGCACAAGTTGTTACAAGTCTGCAAACAAGTTGTTACGACAAGTTGTATTCGCACTGCTTGTTCCCAGTTGTTGTAACAAGTTTGAAACAAGCTGTTAACAACTTGTAACAATCTTGATGGCATTATCAGCCTTGATACAAGGTTGTTCTAACAAGCCTGATACAGTCATGATGAACAAGAATGTTACAAGGTTGACGACACAAGGTTGTAACAATACTGCTATATCATGACTGTATCGGACTTGTTGGAACAACCTTGTAACAAGCCTGATAATATCAACAAGCTTGTTACAAATTGTTAACAGCTTGTTCCAAACGTGTTGACAACTTGGGACAAGCAATGCGAAGACGGCTTGTTGACAAACTTGTTACAAGATGTGAGATTTTTGCGTGTGTACACGCGTAAAAACGTCTGGGAATTAGTTGTTACAAATCTGTTCACAAGCTGTCGACAAGTTGTGTTCGCACTGCTTGTTCCCAGTTGTTGTAACAAGTTTGGAACAAGCTGTTAACAAATTGTAACAAGCTTGATGACATTATCAGACTTGCTACAAGGTTGTTCTAACAAGCCTGGTACACTTGTGATGTAGCAAGAATGTTACAAGGTTGACGACACAAGGTTGTAACAATATTGTTATATCATGATTGTATCGGACTTAAGTTCTTTGAAAGTTTTTTATGGCGATAAAATATAATTGTTTTTGTTTGTGGAAACACCACGTAAATTTATTACTGCATTTATTTATTAATTTATAAATTTACGTGGTGTTTCCACAAACAAAAACAATTGTATCGGACTTGTTGGAACAACCTTGCCAAGTCTGTAATATCAGCAAGCTTACCGTTTCAAATTGTTAACAACTTGTAACAAGCTTGATGGCATTATCAGATTTGTTACAAGGTTGTCCTAACAAGTCTGATACAGTCATGATATAACACGAATGTTACAAGGTTGACGACACAAGGTTGTAACAATATTGTTATGTCATGTCTTTATCGGACTTGTTGGAACAACCTTGCTACAAACCTTATAATATCAACAAGGTTGTTACAAGTTGTTAACAGCTTGTTCCAAACTTGTTGACAACTTGGGACAAGCAGTGCGAACACAACTTGTTGACGGCTTGTTGACAGACTTGCTACAAGATGTGAGATTTTTACGCGTGTAGAAATTGATAAAATAACAGCATTGTTACAACTTGTTGACAAGCTTGCTACAAGCCTGTTGCGAACACATCTTGTTGACAAGTTGTAAGAGTTTCACTTGTGTAACACTGCAATATTTCACCAGTTTT